TAGCCTTCATGTTCATCTTTGTGGGACCAGGCTATAGCTGAGCTCGAAATCGGGCCTGCACCCAGCCTTCTCACGCAGCACAATCCCCATTGTAGAAGTTGTGGGCAGCCTGCCAGGTAGTATTAGGTTCACAGAGGTGACCAGCTGTTCTCCCCTGGCATTGTTTAGGGTCACCAGGTAACAGGTAAGAGCCACTGAGTGTGCCATTTTGGATCCTGGAATCGCTGAGCCCCATGGCCGGGAGTGGAAGAGGGGTAGATGCCACAGTGAAGCTGTGGACAGGTGAACTGCAACCTAGCCCTGCTGGAGTGAACTGTTAACAGTCTGGTGTGCGTTCTCTGCATTGTCTGCCCTCCCAGGTCACACAAAAACATGAAGTATCCTTGTTGGTTCCAAAAATGGAGCTATACCCTCTACTCTGCTTTTCTTACTTAATTCATCATGGTGTACTTCCAAATCAGTAGATTTTAATCGGGAGTAAGAACTGCACAATATTCCATTGGACATGTATTTTCCAGCTTGCCCGCTATCCCCCATACATAGAAATTCAGGTGGTTTCCAGTTCTTCACCACTGCAAAAAAAACTACAACAAACAAGTTTATTATTTGTGTATATTTAGGTATTGACACTTTTCGTTGTTGTTGAAGCAGGGTCTAACTATGTAGCTCAGGCTGTCCTTGAACTCACTGTGTAGCCCAGGCTGGCCTCAAACTCAAGGTAATGCTCCTGCCTCATCCTCCCAAGTGCCAGGATTACAGGTGTGTGCCACCATGCCCACCTTGTATTGACATCTTTTTTTCAAGATAGTTTCCTGAAAGTGTAATTGCTAGGCAAAAGGGTATGCATGTTTTAAATTTTGCTAGATATTGCCAGATTTCTTATTTAAACGGCTGTAGGAATTTATACTCCCAGTCAGTCAATCAGTATGTATTTATACTCCTATGTACCAGATACTGACTGCCCTAGGCTCTAGGGATCTAGCTATAAACCAGACAAAGTTTCTGCCCTCCTAGACTTTATTTTCTAGTGGGGAAAACAGATTATGAGCCAAAAAACCAACAAGCAAAACTAATTCCCACACTTAGGCAGGATGATACAAGACTGTAATCCCAGCTCTCCAGGCATAAGCAAATTATCCAAGATCATAAGTTTGAGGCCCACATGTGCAACTCAACAAGACCTTACCTTACAATTTAGAAAAGGACTAGGGATGGGGGAGGTAGTAGCAGCTCAGTGGCAGAGTGCTCCTGGGTTCTGTCCCTAGTACCTAAGCGCCCCCCCCCCCAAAAAATCCAGAGAAGTGCTATGAAGAAAATGAAACAAACTGGGCATAGTGGCACACGCTTGTCAAAAGGTTTGTAAATTTCAGTCCTGACTGAGCAATTTAGCAATTTAGTGAGGTCCTGTCTCAAAATAAAAAAGGGGGCCCAGGGACATAGCTCAGTGCAAAGACCCTGGGGTCAATCTTTGCTCCAAAGAAAGAGAGAGAGAGAGAGAGAGAGAGAGAGAGAGAGAGAGAGAGAGTCATATAGCTGCTGAACAGTGAACCCCACAGATTTCATTCGACCCACTGGCCACATCGGGGTGGGGGCAGATTTCCCACTTGAGTCTCACCAAAGCCTACATCACTGCACAGAGATGGAGACAGGCTTTAGGCATGAGAGGGGTTATCTACCAACCTCTCAGGAAGGAGGTGGTGCCCTGGGAGAAGAGTGATGGTTCTTCATTCTCCTTTATTTTGGCATCATCTATTCAACAGGAAGGTGAATGTCACACCCCCAAAATGAGTGAGTGCTCCTTCTCAGAAGAATGTCCACTAGGCCAGTTTCCTTCCCATGCCTAGAGCACAGGCCTTGTTCTCTGTAAGGTCGAGCTGATGTTTGTTGAGTGCATGTGGGGTGCAGTGCAGGGTTTGTGTGGGGTACAGAATTGTGTCCTTTGGTGCCTTTCACTAAGGGGCACTCCTGTTCTGGATAATTGGAATTCTATAATCCTGGTTGCAGGTTTGATACAAGACCTTGTCAGCCACAGTGAGGTGTCTGAATTTATTCTAAGTACACTGAAAAACCAAAGGAGGGTTTTGATCAGGGAATGACACACTCTGATTTCAACGGTGCAGATGATGGACTAGAAGCGGCAGGAACAGCAGGGAGAACAGCTATAAGATTGTTGTCATCCATTATGCAAGCCAGAAAGGACAATGTCTGGAACTGAGAGAGTGATGAGCCTTATGGGTGATAAAGATGGGGCAGAGACTCAGTGGATTTGACCAGCAGCTGAAAAACCTGAGCCAGGCGGGGTGGCCCACACCTGTGATCCCAGCATTCACAAGGCTGAGGCAGGAGTATCAGCAAGAATTCAAGGCCAGCCTGGAATACATAGTGAAATCTTGTCTCCAAAATAAACAAATAAACAAAACCCAAAAATCTGGGAGGTGGAGAAGAAAAAGAGGACTTAAGGACAAATCCTACATTTTTTTCCCATTAAGTTTATTGGTACATTTTAGGTATAAAATACAGTTACATCCATCATTGGGATCTTGTACCATTACATGAGTATCTTGGTTCTAATTTTTTCAAATCCTACATTTTTTTTTGGTACCAGGGATCGAACTCCGGTCCTTGGGATTGCAAGGCAGGCGGCAGAACCACTGAGCTAAACCCCCAGCCTCAAATCCTACATTTTTGACCTGAGCAAGAGGGTGAAAGAAGACCAGATTGGGGCAGAAGCCTTGATGAAGAACGCTATTTTAGACATGTTATTGTGGAGGGAACATAGGTGGTGCTATGCTGGTTTTGCTACATACCAAAACTCTTGTCTAAAAAAAGAAAAGGGCCAGGGATTTAGCTGTGATTTCGCTGCTTGTTGCACAAGCGCAAGGACCTGAGTTCAATCCCTGGTACCAAAAAAAAAAAAGACAAAGAATATATACAGTGCAATACTATTTATTTATTTTGAGACAGGGTTGCTTATGTTAGTTCAGGCTGGTCTTCAACTCCACTATGTAGCCCAGGCTGCCTCAGCCTCCCTAGTGGTGGAGATCACGGGTATTCACCACCACACCTCACTGGAAATACCTGTGAAACATATATTCCTCTATCAGAGGAAATAGTAGTGCTCATTAGAGAATATTGAGACTCGAATAATAACATATACCACACATCAGGTGTGATACAAGAAAGTGATATTTTGATGGATGTTTATAGCTTAGGTGCTTAGACTGGGGAGAATTTGGAGATGGATTAGGGATCCATATACATAGGGAACTAAGCAAATGGCCCAAGACAACTGACTTCAGGGATGCCCAGGGTTGTGCGAGACAGGAAACCGGTGGATTGCCAGAGACTCAGACAGGGCGGAAACAGTGAGCATTGGCTCTCTATACATAGAAAAAAAATCTGGGTGCGGATTTTTAAATTTCTTCACCTCTACCTGGAGCACAGAGCCTGTAGAAGGTACTCAGTACTTACTGTCAAATGAATAAATGTAGCCAAAATGATGGAACTGCGTCAGAGGATGTGGGAACACAAAATGTTCATGTGTTTGGAGGCAGTAGGGTAAAAGAATAAAATCTTTGGGCCTGGGATTTAGCTCAGTGGTTGCTCCACCTGCTGCACAAGTGCAAAGACCTGGGTTCGATCCCTGGTACCAAAAAAAAAAAAAACACCAATAAAATCCTTTTTCTGCAGTATTAGAAATCAAACCCAGGGCCTTGTTTTGGCTACTGCTGAATTACAACTCCAGTCCTAAATCCTTAAGCTTTATAGTGGGAAAACAATAGGGAATGGTAAAACTGAAAACTTTAGCGGCGCTAGTAGTTGGGCACGATGGTGCCTGCCTGTAATCTCAGCACTCTGGGAGGATGAGGCAGAAGGATTCCATGTTTGAGCCCAGCCTGGTCAATTTAGTGACTTAGCATAACTCTGTCTCAAAAAATTAAAAAGGGCTGGGATGTACTTCAGTGCAAAGGCATTGGAAACATGCGATTTAAAAAGTATAAAGTCCATGATTTAGGATGATTGTTTTTTCAATACTCAGGATTCAACCAAAGGCCTCACACATGCTTGACAAGTGCTCTACACTGAGCTACATTTCCAGTCCTGACTTACAATTATTTGACTTTTGATTTCTTCACTTTATGGTGGTGTAAAAATTCACCAAAAAGCTGGGCATGATGGCGCATGCCTGTAATCCCAGCACTTGGGAGGCTAAGCCAAGAGGATCAGCAGGAGTTCAAGGCCTGCTTGGGCTACATAGAGAGACCCTGTCTCAAACAACAACAAGCCCAAAAAAGCCCACCAAGAAACAGTTTTTGCATTCAGTACAGTATTCAATAAATCACAAGACATTTAACACTTTAGTATAAAAAAGGCATTGTGTTAGGTGATTTGTCCAATTGCTATATGCTAATATAGCCATGCTCAGCTGCTTCTAGGTTGGCAAGGGCCAGGCAATGAGCAAGGAGAAAATATTAGAAGTCCTGAGAAGGCAGGCAGAGATGGCTAATAATCAAGCATAACGGTGGGTAAGCAGGGTGGGGGGTGGCAAATGCCTGTAATCCCAGCACTCTCACTTGGGAGGCTGAGGTGGATTTGCTGCGAATTCTAGGTCAGCCTGGGTTACATAGTAAGCTCCTGTCTCAAAAAACAAACAAATAGGCTGGGGATGTAGCTCAGTGGGCTGTGCCTGCCTGGCAAGCGCAAGGTCCTGAGTTCGATCCCCAGTACAGAAACAAACAAACAAACAAATAAATGAACAACAAGTCTCCCAGCATGCCAGACTCTACAAGTTAAAGCAGAGAAAGAAAAGACTGGCAGAGGGAGAAAAAGAGAGGAAGGAGAGGGAGGATGGCTGGGAGCTGAGCAGGTGGGCCTCAAAGCTGAAGGTGCGGTGTTACAAGTGGTGTGATGCAATGTTTTTCCCTCACCCAGGGCAGTTGGCCCTCCTGTCTCTAAAAGACAGCTTCCTCCACAGCAAAGCCTCACCAAAAGCCTCTATATTCATCAGTACAAAAAGCTACAGCTTTTATTAAATAAGAAGGAGGTAGAAGACAGATAAAGGAACAGGCCAGACCCCTCCTTTCCCCTTGCACATACACAGACACACAAACAGACACAACCAAATAAACGATGGGGACACTCAGGGGGCAGACTGAAGGGCAGAGGGAGGCAGCACCCTCTTGGAGTGGGCCTGGACCCAAGGGTGGGCTGAGACTTGGGCCAGGGGTAGCCGTTCGGATGGGTTATGTTTGAGCAGCTTGGAGATGAGGTCCTGGGCCCCTGTGGGCACAGAGGGAGGAAACTTCAGGTCCACCTGCAGTGTGGAGAAAGAAGGTAGGGCTGCATTTGTGTCATTTCCCTTGAGCATCCATTCTATTCAGGGACTCGCCCAGGCCCTGTAACCCACTCTGGCCACCCCTGGCCCTGGCATCTACAGGTGACCAAGCCCCAAGAAGCCCTCACCTTGACAATCCGCCGGTAAGTCTCGTTGTGGGAGGCGCTCTCGAAGGGGGGGTTGCCCACCAGCAGCTCGTAGCAGAGTACCCCAATGCACCACAGGTCCACCTTCTCGTTGTGTGTGCGCCCCTCAATCATCTCTGGGGGGAGATAGTCCAGGGTGCCACACATTGTCTTCCTCCTGGCGAGAAGGAGAAGGAAGTGGGCAGGGGTCCCAGGGCCAGACAGCCTCCCCTTCCCTGCTGCGTGACAGCAGCAGCACTGGGGGTGTTCCTGCTGCTGGGGTAGAGGCGGATGAGGACATAAACCCAAGTCCCAGGGGTGGCCTGCTTACTAATCACGCAGTGCCAGACCAAGGGATGTATCTCAGTAAGATAATCCGATAAACTGGGAGCACTGGTACACACTTGGAATCTCAGGCTGAGGCAGGAGGATCACAGTGAGGTTAGCCTGGCAACTCAGCAAGAGCCTGAGTAAAATTTTAAAAAAGAGCTGAGGTTGTGGCTCAGTGGGAGAGCTTAGCATGTGTGAATCCCTGCATTCCATCAATACTGGAAAAAAAGAAAAAGAAAATTATATGTAAAGGTAATATTCCTCTTAGAATTATTATTTTTTTGGGTTTTTTGAGACAGGGTCTCACTCTGTAGTCCAGGCTGGCCTCAAACTCATGGTGATCCTCCTGCCTTAGCCTCCTAAGTAATGGAATTATAGGCATACTCGGCCTATAATTTTAGAATTATTTATTTTGTAGGTTCTTTTGGAGTTAGGGTCTCACTGTGGAGTTCAGGTTGGCCTCGAATTCACTATGTAGCCTCGGCTGGCCTAGAACTCATGGTGATTCTCCTGCCTCAGCCTCCCAAGTGCTGAGATTACAGGTGTGCACCACCACACCCAGCATTCATTTTAGTATGTATTAAAGGAAAAATTTGAGACATCTCTAATATTCACCAAGTGTATTCTACTTAAATGAATGAGATTACATCTTTACCATGTGATACTATGAAGACATCAAAAATGTCGGAACTGGGCACAGTGGTACATGCCTATAATTACAGCCCTCTGGAAGGATGAGGCAGGAAGATCATAAGTGCCAGCCTAGCCTAAACAACTTAGGAACTTAGGGAGTCCTTGTTTCCAAAACAAGAAAAAAGGCTTGGGGTCATAGTTCAGTGCAAAGGCCTTGGGTTCAATTCTTGGTACCACACACAGACACACACACAAATGATGTGGGTAGTCAGGCAAGGTATCATGTGCCTATAGTCCCAGAGTTCCACATACTCAGGAGGCTGAGTCAGGAGGGTCACTTGAACCCAGAAGTTTCAGGCATATCTTCTTAAAAAAAAAAAAAAAAAATTTTGAGAGTTCTCTCAGTGATATGGCAAGAAGTTTCCCATATACTGAGTGGAAAATCTGGGCAACAGAATTGTTCAGTTCACTTTCTTGGAAAGATACTGCTATTTCTATATTTGTATGAGGGTAAACTCCAATGTCTCTGGGGACCCGGATTCTGAGGGGTTTTGTATTGACTCGGACAGCCTTGCATAGGGCTGGGTTCCGGCCACTGTACCTCAGGGAGGGGGCGTGCACCGACCAGCCAAAGTCAGCGATCTTCAGCTCCCCTTGGAGCCCTAGGAGTAGATTCTCTGGCTTTATGTCTCTGTGAATCACCTTCTTCCCGTGGCAGTACAGCAGCGCATCTGCCAACTCTGCCATGATCTGGAGGACAATACCAGGCAGTCAGGCCACCCCTATTGGCAGAGTGTCCGCAGCTTGGAGCCCTCCCTGTGGTACCCGGGTGCCCACCGCCCCTAACCGTGGCTGTTCGCTGCTCATCAAACGTGCGACTCTTCTGCAGCTCCTTGTAGAGCTCCCCACGGGGCGCATACTCCAGAATCAAGTAGATTCGCCTCCGGTCATAGAAGTAGTTGTAGAGCCTCAGGATGTTGGGGTGCCTGCGGGAAGAGACAGAGGACAGACGCCTCAGGCAACATCCTTGTATTAGGAAGCCAGGGAAGATGACTGGGCTGATGGGATGAACTGGGGTCAGAGGTGGACCAAGGCTGGGAGTCATAAGGGGGAGCAGGGGTCAGCTGACAGGGGCTGACTGACAGGGGGTGGGGCTGGGAGGTGGGTTCACTGGCCACAGCTGCACAGACAGCAGCCTGGGTAGAGCCAGGTACACTGAGGGGCTGAAGATGAGGCAGGGAGGAGCTCAGGTTTAGAGGGGACACTTACTGCAGGTGGGCCTGGATTTCAATCTCCCTCCGAAGCTGGTGTTCCACGCCCTCCTTCTCAATCTGAGACTTGAAGAGGACCTTGAGCGCCACGATGAAATGGCTTTTCTTCTCCCGAGCCAAATACACATTTCCAAATTTGCCTTTGCCCAGAGGACGCCCAATTTCAAAGTCATCAATCGTGAGGGGCCGCCTGATTAGAGAGTTGGGGAAAGGCAGCTAAGTGCTGGCTTGTTATTTCTCCAAGATATTTGCTTTTGCCCCACTCCTCCTGACCTTTGGCCGGGCCTCCCAGATTTTCTTCCTCTTTACTGTTCCATCACCCTCTCTTTACCCCTAGGCTTGGGCACTTACTTGAAGCTGGGCACCCCATTGCTGTTCTCCACCACCTTCTGGCCAGGGACAGCTAAGGAAAGCACAGGTAAGTTGAGGTCCTCTCATACTTGTCCCCTCCAGTCACCCCCCTCCTGACTCAGTTACCTGTGGCCTGGCCATTGGAGCGGCTCATGAGGACAAGTGCAGATGGGGTGGTAGGCTCCTTTCGGAGAACTCTCTGGGGCAGGGTGTTTAGGCCTGATTGAGACTGAGAAGAACCAGGAGGTGGCTCTGAGGGTGCCTTTGTCCTGGTGATCAGGGTGGAATGTGCTGCAAGCAGCATTTCAGCTACTTGGTAAAGAACCACCCACCCTCCATTCCAAGAAAAATACTGATTGGGCTGGGGTTAGCTCAGTGGTTCCGGTGCCTGCCTCGAAAGCACAAGGTCCCAAGTTCGATCCCCGGTACAAAAAAAAAAAAAAAGAAAAAGAAAAATACTGATAACCATAGTTTGATTCCCCACCCCCAAGATTCTGCTCATTAAGGATTATTGATAGACAAAGGACTTAATCTGACATTTCACCTCTGGTGTGGGCCTACACTACCTTCTCAGGCATGTAGCTGTTCGATCTATACAGTTCTGTCCATTTCACCACTCTCATTCACCCAGCCCCCATCCCAGGGAGCAGAGGGCTGGGTCAATGAACACCCACAATTCCAAGAGTTTATTTAGCACCGTGGCACTCTCAAAGTCCCCTAAAAAACTCAGACCATTAAGGCCTGGTTAATGTCCTTAAGGCCTTAAATTTTGAAGCAAACATCAGTATTTAACCCTTTGCAACAAAAGGCTTTAGGGACACCGAGGGCTATTCTGATGGCCTTAGGCCAGTTGTTCACTTTCATCTTCTCAGTGTAAGAGTAACCAAGGTAAAAGTGACAAATGTAACCTCATTCAGATACCCCTTGCCAGCCTTACTCAGTGCTCCATGAGGGAGGGGGTTGATGAGTAAGAGAACCAATGGACTCCCAGGGGTGCCCCAACCCCCCCCCCAAAGTCTGTGCAGGGCCCCTTTCTTCTTCACATAAAAGAAAGCCCTAAGGCCCCTAAACACCTGTTCCCTGGGATTTACAGATTGACAACCAGCTGAACAAAATGCAGTCCAGAAAACATATATGGAGGATTCTAATACATATAATAGAGGCATCGCTGGTGCGCACCTGTAATCCCAGCACTCAGGAAGCTGAGGCAGGAGGATTGCTCCAAGTTTGAGGCCAGCCTGGGCTACATAGTGAGTTCAAGGACAGCCTGGACTACAAAGCAAGACCTTGTCTCAAAAAACAAATAAATCAAATCAGAGGGTAGACTATTCAATAGAAGGTGTTTTTATAACTGGAAAATAAATAGATTTGGAGCCTTACACCAGTCATCAAAATAAATTCCAGGGCTGGGAGTGTAGCCCTGTGGCAGAGAGCACTTACTTAGCATGCAGAGGCCCTGGGCTTGATCTTCTACACCAAAAGTAAATTCCAAATGATTAATTCAGATTTGTCCTGGACCTTTACAACAGTAACTTTATCTGTATTCTTCCTCAGTCTATTTCCTGCCAGTTTATCTTTTCAGGATAAGAGTTGGGAATCCTGGTCTTCAGGCCAGACCCTGACTGCTCGGTCTAGGATATTATTTGTATGTGACAAGTAGGCTCAGCCCAGCAGATGTCCTCCAAAGCTGGAAGTCACTGTTCAAATTGGTGGCATCTGACAGGTTATGGCTGCACAGGACCAGACCAGGCAAACTGTTGGGCCAGAGCATAAGGGCAAGAACATTGCCTTTAGGGGGCGGGGGGTAGTGGGAAGGGCCTTACCGTCTGCCGGCCATAGGGCCAGGGGTAGGCGTTCTCCTTCTGGGCCATCCTTGGAAAGACAAAGGGGGAGGAGAGCTGGGCGGAGAAGGAAAGGAGGGGTGAGAAATAAACAACAACAAAAAAGAGGCAGAGAGGGAAGGAGAGATCAGACCGATCCAGCCGGAAGCGCCTCAGCAAGCGAAAGGGAGCAACCGGGAGCTGGTCTCACTGCCCCCGCCCTGCTACCTGTCCCACCCACTTCTAGAATTCCCCACTCCAACCGTGAATGCTCAGCACACTGGTGGGGTGCGCGCGGGCCACGCCAACGGACCCTTGACCTGCCTGATCACCTGGCGCTAAACCCGCGAAAGACCAGTTTACCTGGAGCCCGCGGCTCAGCTACTGCACTGCTCCTGCTCGCCTGCAAGCTGCTGAATTTGCCTGATCCAGTCCCTGCCGAGACACTTTCAAATCTCCCGCCCTGGTCCCATTGGCTGAGCGTGCAGCCCATCCCAATTTTCATTGGCTGGCTTCACTCTGACGTATCAGGGAGACCAAATAGAAGAGGCAGGGGGCCGGGAATTTAGCTCGGTGGTTTCGTCGTCTGCTGCGCAAGCGGAAGAACCCGAGTTCAATCCCTGGTACCAAAAAAAAAAAAAAAAGAAAGAAGCGGCAGAATGTGAGCCGTCTCATGCTCGGTTCCGGCTTGGTAAAATTTTCCTGACTCCCTAGTCAGTTGTTTTTTTCTTTTTAAAAACTTTAATGTGATTAAAATTTATCCTTATGCATGTATGAACTAGGGTTTATACTTGTTTTCTGGCAGATGGAGACCAGTTGTGCCAAAATCGTTTGTTAAACTGCCCATTCCTATCAGAATTTAAATGCTGCCATTAATAAAGTCTTCCTAAATAGAATCATTTTTCGCTATCTTTGGGGGGATTCGCTCCAGAACTCCACGAATACTAAAATCCGTGGGTGCTCGAGTCTCTCATATAAAATGACATGTGTTTGGACATAGCCTATGCAATCCTCCCATATACTTTGAATCATGATCTTTCTGAAACATGTCAGGGACAGAATGTATGGGTGGAGTATGCTTAATAGATCCAGTACAATATCGCTGTCCCCTGGATTCTTTAAATTCCCACCTGCACCTTATATCAGAAGATTTTTGGCCTTTCAGGAATATTTGATGGGCCAATATAAGATTGGCGTTTGCATCTTTCAAAAAACAAAAACAGGGAAGGGGATTTAGCTCAGTGGTTCTGCCGCCTGCCTTGCAAGCGCAAGAACCCAAGTTCAATCCCAGGTACCGGAAAAAAAAAAACCCCAAACCCCCAGAAATCTATCAAATCTCCCACATGCCTGCCCAACTTAGTGAACAAACTCTGTTATCTACTTTCGTTCTTCTCAAATGATTTGTGAAGAACCAATCTTGAATATTTTCAATCTACTCCAAATCAATACGTTCATAAAATACAATACAAGCTTGTGGTGGCAATGTATGCCTGTAATTCCAGCACCCTGGGAGGCCAAGGCAGGAGAATTGCAAAAGATTGAGCCCAGCTTGAGTAATTTATGGATACCCTGTCTCAAAATTAAAAAAAAAAAAGTGCTCTAGATGTAGCTTAGTGTGAAGGCCCTGGTTTGAATCCCTGGTATTACAAAAACAAAGCAATACAAATGTATTCCTTGGAAAATTAAATCTAAACAAATAAACAAAAGTTACAAGACCACATCTTTGTAATAGTCATTATATATGAGGGCTCTGAGGAATGTTGTAAGAATTTTTACAGACTTACTCTCAAGTTCTACACTGTCCTGAACCAACGTGGACCACACTCTGAATACCACCTTGCCTACACCAAGAGCAATTAATACAGCTCTGTTCACCTAGATCATGCATACTCAAAACGCACTCTCTTGTAAATATGCTTTATCCTTGTGTCAGTACTGTTTTGCTCTTAAGATTTCTTTTTGTTCTTAAGGACTACTATCTAAAATATATAAAGAACTGAAAAAAATCAGACCCCTCAAATTCAAAGACCCAATACAAAAATGGGCATCTGAAATGAACAGACATTTCTCAGACAAAGAAGTAAAAGCAGCAAATAAATATATGAAAAAATGTTCAACATCACTGGTCATTTGAGAGATGCAGATGAAAACAACACTGAGTTTCCACCTCACCCCACAAAGAATGGCTGCTATCAAGAAATCAACCAATAACAAATGCTGGCAGGGGTGTGGGGGGAAAGGAACCCTTCTCCATTGCTGGTGGGAGTGCAGACTGGTGCAACCACTGTGGAAAACAGTATGGAGATACCTCAAAGAACTAGGACTAGAGGTCCCATTTGACCCAGCTATTCCCCTGCTGGGTATCTTCCCAAAGAATTAAAAGAATCATACCACAGAGATATATGTCCACCCATGTTTATAGCAGCACAGTTTGTAATAGCTAAAGCTTGGAAACAGACCAAGTGCCCATCAACTGGAAACTGGATAAAGAAGATGCGAGTTTTTTATAAAATGGAGTACTACTCAGCCATAAAGAACGAGAAACTAGAGACATTTATAGCTAAATGGATGCATATTGAGGCCATACTCTTAAGTGAAATGAATAGGACACACAAATGTAAATACTAAATAGTTTCTCTAGTGTGAGAAACTGAAAGTGTAAAGAAGGATTAAAATGATTAAAATGAATAATTGATAATTTGAAATATTAAAAGGTCCAAAGGTGTAGGGGTGGTGGGAGGGGAAGGGGAAAGGAAAGAAAGGAAAGGAAAAATGAGAAAAGAAAAAAATGGAAACAAAAATCTATGTAAATAGGGAAGGGTGGAGGGGGTGAAGGGCGCACAGGTAATGGGGAAAAGAACCAAGATTCATCATGTACAGGTACAAGCACCCAATGATAAATGTAAACATATTGTATACCTAAAATGTACCAATAAAAGAATTTAAAAGAAAAAGAAAGATTTCTTTTTGGTCTTAAAAGTACTGGAGATAGAACCTAGAGCCTCTGCACTAAGCTACATCTTTTGTTATTTTGCAGTAAGGTCTAGGCCACTAACCTCAGCCTCCCAAAGTGCTGGGATTACAGGGAAGTGCCTCCATTCCAGCCCTTCACTGATTTCTTTTCTTTACTTTTTTCCTTTCTTTATTTCTTCTTTTGGTTTTTTTGGTACCAGGGATTGAACTTGGGATTTTGCATTTGCAAGGCAGGAACCAGAACCACTGAGCTAAATCCCCAGCCCGTCTTCCTTTGGTTTTGTTTTGCTTTTTGAGACTGAGTCTCACTATGTAGTCTAGAATGGCCTTCTGCCTCAGCCTTCCCAGTGTTGGGATTACAGATGTGTGCCACCAGGCCTGGCTCTCTGTACCTTTGACTTGATTTTCATCTCTTCACCCGTGTTATGTGTGGTTTCTATTGGCCAAGTAACAATGAAAGGTGACCATGAAGGGACTGTCACTGTTCTGCAAAGGGCTAGTGTTTCACATGACTGAGAAGGGACAGAACTCTTTTGTGTTCTAAAGATCAGGGTTATTGGTTACTAAATGTTTGGGAGGCACAGATGTTAGATTTATTTATTTATTTAAAGGCAAGGGTCTCTCTATAGTATCCAGGCTGGCCTTGAATTCCTGCGCTCAGGTGATCTTCCTGCCTCAGCCTTCTGAGTAGCTGGGACTATAAGTATGTGACACTGCCACAGTACCTTCTCTTCTTTCTCTCCCCCAATTTTTTTTTTTTTTTGCAGTGCTCAAGATTTAACCTAGGGCCTTGTGTATGGTATGCAGATATTTAGCTCTGAGCTATATATATCCCCATTCCTTTTTATTTCAGACAGTCTCGGCTGAATTGCCCAAGTTGAGCTGAAACTTGGGATCCTCAGCCTCCCAAATAACTGGGATTACAGGTGTGCAGCACAACCCTGGCTCCTTTTATTTCTGATAATGGAATATCCCAATAAAAAAATCTGAAGACCAGATTTTCATCATCAACCAAAAGCCCCTTCCAGGAATGAAAGAAAGACTCAGAAAAGCCTGCAAGGTGCTTGCTGGGGGAGTCTGGTCATGTTTCTCCACTAAGTTGTCCTCCTTAAAGTACATCTGAGATGCTCCTGCTGAGGTAAGGAGTGTCAAGATAGGGCATTCCTCTTCCATCCAGCAGAGAGCTGCTCGATCTTCCATCTTCATATTGGACCACATCGTTGCTAGATAAATGAGAAATTTTATGTTACGTATCTTTTACCATAAAAATTATGAAAGCTTTTTTATTTTTCTATTTATTTTTATTTTTGGTACCGGGGATTGAACTCGGGTCCTTGAGCTTGCGCAGCAGGCAGTGAAACCACTGAGCTAAGGGACTGAACTCAGGACCTTGTGCTTGCATGGCAGGTGGCAGCACCACTGAGCTAAATCCCCGGCCCTATAAAAGCTTTTTTAAAAAAAATAAAAGGGGAAAAGAACACATCAAATTTGCCAGGCATAATGGCATATGAGTATAATCCCAGCACTCTAGGAGGCTGAGGCAGGACAATTTCGAGTTAGAGCCCAGCCTGGGCAACTTAGTAACTTAGTGACTTAGTGAGACCCTCAAAACAAAATAATTAAAAGGGCTAAGGATATAGGTCAGTGCTAATAGTACTGGATTAATTCCCTAGCACCACACACACATACAAAACAAAACCCAAACACACATGTAACTTATTACATGTCTAGGGCATGGGAGTGTTACATTCCATGAAATATCTTAAATATCAAGAGTATTCTTTTAAAAATCACCTGTGTACCTATTCCATTAGTTACACCTTAACAGGTCTTGTTATTTTTTATTCTGTCCAACTCCCCTATTGTAGTCAGGGTGTGCAAGGAAATAGATTTAATACAGGACATGTAATTTATAGGATTATTTTATAATAACCACCCAAAACATCAAACACAGAGGAATACAAGAAGTCTGTCCACGCTCTAGGGACCCAAAGAATCCAGCCAAGGGGCTGGATCCCACAGCAATGTCCCGCACAAGTCCAGCGGAACCCATGGCAATGTCCTTCACGAATCCAGCTCCCCTGGTGAGTACAGCAGCCAACCCTGGTGACAGTGAGGCCCCGAGCTCCTCTGACAATGAGAACAGCCACGTTTGCATCAGGAAAACCAATCACAGCAAGTTTCTCCCAGAAAATCAACTGTAAATGATCTTCCCTCCAGGTCTCTTTTTATGCCATTGGCAACAATCCTCAGGTGAGTCTTCCATGGCCAGACCACACTGATTCAGTTCAGCTGGGTGGTCCAAGTTGACCATTAGTTAATCCACCACATCCCTCCACACATTACTCTGCCCAAGGGGAAGAACGGTCACTAGGGGCAAAAGGCAACTGCAGCAAAGCAACGCCAACAGCTGGCTTCATGCTTAGGAGAAAATGCTGCCCCTCTTCCCTGTGCTTCCCCGTGCTCATGTTCAGACAAACTTCTCTAGTAACAAACTGTATAAATGAT